ACATAGTTCTGATAATCTTCGTCTTCTCATTACACTATCGAAATTTATCGCTTAAGTAAATTTAGTCTTATCTATTAATTAAACTGAGCCGCGTTAGTAGATGCGAACTACCTAGTTGTGGTCGGAGCGAGATGTTGTGACATGACTCAGAATCGGCTGCAGTGGCGTAAAGGCAGGCTTTATCTCCACTTACATTTTGAATGCTAAGATTATATTATACTTTTTATCCCACGAATTCGTTCCTTCTTCTTGCATAACACTGTCTATGCTTAACCTTTTCTATTAGTACCGGTTCTGTTACTACTTCTACTAATCTAGCATTTATCTTGATCGTTTCATCTCGTTGTGTTGATATTGTGCGGCAACTTGAACCGATGAGTATATGTCCCAGGTTCTGTGTTGCTTATGACTGGGTCTGATCGATAAGAATCATTAACAATTTCCTTGGATTATTCCTCAGGGTCCAGTAAAACAAACCAACATTAGGATTATGCCGTTATTATCTCTCGAAAGTTTACGCCATTCTAAATTATCTCTAGTGAACAAGCTATTATAATTTATAGTTTGGAATACAGAATGATTTTAGTTAGATGACTACTGAAAACTGAAGAACATTGTACATATGTTTGGCATAGTTGGATTTCCAAGTGATAATCAGGAAATTTGAACCCAGTGAGAAAACCTATAGTTGGATAGGTGAAAATGTAATTAGACACTAATCGAACACATATTTCTCAGGGTAATTAGTGTAATCTCTTTTTATCACTGAAAATTCCAAGGTGCTTAAGAATGTTTTAGCGTAACAACAGAGGTATAATCTACGGAATAATCTCAACTTTCTAACTATAGATCACACAGACAATGACCTCCCAGAGACATATTGCTCTGCAGCTTGATGACTTGAAACTGAACAGTATTAATTGCATTATATGACGTATTATCAATATCTTTACTACCAAATAATTATGAACATTTATTGTTTGCATTTATTCAAAGAATTAAGCTTCCAATATATATATATATATATATATATATATATATATATATATATATATATATATATATATATCGGAGACAACGATGATCGAACACAGAGAGTCGTCTAACATCCTCAACTCGGAGAGGCCAGGTTTCACAAGCATAGAGCAAAACTGCTCTCACCCACGCGTTGTAGATCCGACCTTTTACAGCCAGACTAACATCACGAAGGCGCCAAAGATGGCCCAGATTGGCATAAGCCGCTCTGGCTTTCCTTATACGTGCACCAATCTCATCACTCACGCCACCACCAGCACTTATATAGCTACCTAGATACACGAACTTCTCAACTACTTCAATCTGCTCACCATCTAGGGTGAGTACAGGATGAGAATCCTGCCAGTCTTATAGGAGTACTTTGCACTTGGAGGGTGCAAAGCACATGCCGTACTTGCGGACACTGATTGCCAACTGATTAAGTGAAGATTGTACGCCTTGGGCATTATCGCACAGTAAGACAATATCATCCGCATACTCGAGGTCGAGAAGTCGTTCTCCAGGCAGCAGATCCACACCGCCATTGCTTACATCCATCAGAGCTGTTTCCAGGATGTCGTCGATGGCAAAGTTGAAGAGGAATGGTGAGATCGGGCAACCCTGTCTAACCCCACTGCTCGAATGGAACATAGGAGATAGGTGGTTGTATGCCCTCACTCTGCCTGAGGTGTTCGTATACAGGGCCTTTAAGATGTTAATGAACTTCTCAGGCACACCATTCTTCAATAGACAATCCCAGAGAACAGTCCTGTCCAACGAATCGAAGGTAGCCCTGATATCAAGAAACACTACGATTGTTGGCCTGCGATAAGTATGACGGTGTTCTAACATTTGATGGAGGGTGAAGATATGATCAATGCATCCTCGACCAGAACGAAAACCAGCCTGCTCCTCGCGAGTCAATCGTTCTCGGGTTTTAAACAACCTACGAAGAATGATAGAAGCCAATAGTTTGGACGCAATGGAAGTAGACTTATCCCCCGATAGTTGTTACAGGAACAACGTGAACCCTTTTTAAAGATAGGGACGACTATTGACTCATTCCATGATGTTGGAACACTTTCTTGCTCCCAAAACTTTCCAAACAACACCGTCAGTTCCTTAGCCAGAAAGTCACCACCATCTTTAAAAAGAGCCGGAGGTAAGTCATCAGGGCCAGGTGATTTGTAGCGTTTCAAGAGTTGGAGTTCTTTGCGGACATCCGCCTTGTTTGGTGGATCAGTCGTCACCGGCCATGGGGGGCAGGACAAACTGGTTGATGTTGCCGGAGCAGCAGGCCAGTTGAACTGCCCTTCGAAAAATTCCGCCCATCGTCCAAGACGTCGAGAGATGTTAGTGATTGGCATCCCATCATCCTCGTAGATTGTTTCACTCACACCACACTTCTTGCTGCCAGTGGCTCGGATGAGTTGGAAGAGTTTCCGGCAGTTACCAGATGCAGCTGCTGCTTCCATCTCATTAGCACGCTCCGACCACCAGGCTTCTCGGTCCTTACGCAAGCTTTGCCCAATTTCATTACGTAACAGCCTTCGTTTGTGGTCAAACTCAGGGTCACCCGGAGTAGACCGACGGGCTTCCATCAGTTGTAAGGAGCCAGAAGAAACCCAGTGCTTGTAAGCGGGACATTTCGCGAAGACGCAAGCGCCTTTACTTGCCATTTTCATGGCGTCGTGAAGATGCAACCAATGCTCATCTATACTTTTCGATGGGATGGTAGCTAGCCTAGAAGCTAGCAGAAGTTAATAATTACCAGTTGTGAGTTTGACTTTCATGTTTAAATATTAACTAATTAAATGGCAAATGATTTTTATAGCTACACTATTTTCCTAGGTACCTTGTACATAAATTAAACTTCAACTACCTAATACATTTTTAAATATTTGCACACTAAGTCAGTCAGCCAGTGTTTTTGTGCATCGAAACTCACACAAAATCGCGTCCCCCAGTAAATTATCGGTCTGGCAACCTCAGACAACCTAGTGACGGTAAAAATCATTTCTGGAATCATATCATAAATTGTTTATATATCCTTGACGTTTTTTTACCTTCTAGCTAAATCTAAATAGGTTCCGGTATTGATTTGATTACGCATCCAAAGTGAGAAAGATCCTCTGATCAAAAACACAATGTCTGAGTGTGTTATAAAGGGAGTATCACCATTTCATTGAACCAGTTTATTGATGCCTAGTCGAGATATGATCTATTTGCCCCCATCAGCTCATTCACTTCGACAGTCAAGGAAACGAATGGTGTTTCTCTCCATTTATAAAGTAGGTTTATGATGAAAGTAAACGGTTGACAAGGGACAGTTGAGGAAGACATTTTATCCTAGTTTATTCATTGTCATTTAAGGACAGTGTGCAGGATATTGTTGCACTGAATCTAGTCTAAGACTGTCTATTAGGTTACCATAACTGTACCTGTTAGACCACAGGAACCCGTCATTGTATCTTCATAAAGCTAGTGATTGGACCGTTTCGATTCTCCACATTGAATAGATGAGATCAAGTGAATACTCGTATTACGGTTTTAGTTGGGGGTTTTCAGAGACATGGCATAGGTTCACAGTACAAAATCCTACAGTGTTGACTAGTGAAGCCTATTATTTAATATCACATACGTTCTGAACATTCAGAGCTAAACCAGACCGTTTTAGGAGCGATTCCAAGAGACCATAAATAACATCCCTCAGACCCGGCTCATTAAGATTGGAGGTACATATGGAAGAAAATGGACCTAGAGAGGAAAGACTGACAGTAGGAGTAAAAGGTGAAGCTGCTGGTAAATCCGAATGCTACTAGAGGTGTCCAGGTGACTAATAATTTCTTTGTCTATACTATAGAATATAATGTCACGACAAAAACAAGAAAAACTGGGACAAAGTTGATAATCTCGTCGATTTCAAAAAGTGGTTGCAGTCCTCAAGAGATAACTGCCCGCAGCAGATCGCATATGATCTCTTAGAATTAATGTCTTTGTCCCAGTGCTTAAAAGACCTTGCTATCAGTACTATGACTATATTGAGGTCAAAGTGTGATATTCTGAGGTGGAGTTTAATTAACCGCTTACCTAATCCGTGGTGAGGTAGCATTACTAAAGATGTAAGCTACCTAATGATATTTTACTACCATCATAGTTGGGTACATTCAACAATACAATTCCATTTTTGAACCTAAAATATGCTGTTCGTGGCTTTACTGCCTCTCAAATAACCAAATCATGATTTTTAGGACCCTAAAATAAAAACGCGCCTCTACAAGCATAACTCAGCTAGGCCGCTACGATGGATAATCAAGAACACCACATCGAGTGTCATCTGTAGCTAAGTGTAAATCCTATATGCTGAAATCTTCGTTATGTAACAGTGAATAATTATTTTATCATCAAATAATGAACTGAGACTAAAAACACCCAACATGGGACTAAAAATGAGGAACTACTAAACTAATTTACATAAACACAGCCAATTCAAATAACGAATCGTATCCTACAATTATAACAGCAATTTGTCAGTTAAAGTCTTTTAGCTGTAAAAGAAAGTTTCTATTAAATTGGTGAAATTAAATTTCCCATTTCTATTACATGTATTTACATACAAGTTTAATTCAATAAAAAACGTACTTAAAAAAGGACTACTAGGTACAAAGAAAGCTAAAATAAAAGTCTGCAGAGTCAGCAGGATTATTCATAATTCACGTCAGACTGCGTACTGGATTACTACTGAAACCTCGTGCAGCAAAAAACACACTTGGAAATCGGATTGATATAAAGTTGCACACTATCGTTATGTACGACGGTCAGTTAGGATAATCAAAGAACAATTTTTAGTTTTGTTATAGGCGGAAGTGAAAATAAACCCACCAGCTTGAGATTATCTGCTTTGAAGATAAATAGGATTTTTCCAGAAAGACAACCACTATATTATTGTGTTGTAAAGTTTACTTAGAGATCATAGAGATGGCAGACTAACAGTAGAACTTTACACCTTCATCTTCCATTATTTCAGCTTGACCTCGTTTTTGAAGGACAGTTATTGCATTTGTTAAGACAGATATATCTAAACCATGAAAAGCTTCTTGTTTTGTATCGTCACCGTCAGTCAACTCATAAAATGTACAAACTGAATTGCTGTGGCCAGTGGATCGGGCCCATCTCGCGATAAGATCAGCCCATTCTTCAGGAGTCCGCCATATAATTCTGGCATTGGTATGAGACCTAAAAGTTGAAATAAAAATTAGGCATATTTTTTCGGCGTAAAAATTATTTGCCATTGACCAGTACTGCTAATATATATTAGATTTACGGAGGCTTAATATGATAAGCTGTTAATTATTAAGTGTTCTGTACGAAAATATATGATGAAATTTATTCTGATAAGAAACCAGTGTCTAAATACTTCATCTTGGTCTGGCTATAATTAGAGTATGGTGAATCAGATAAAACTTCGTCATTAGAATCGTACTAAAATCAGGGGAAGAGCATTGATAAATAGAAATTTGCAGTAGTCATTATTTTATATATTATATTACTGTAATGTAATGAACCGATAAAGAACAGCTGTAATAGACATGGTGCCCCAAATGCCCTGGTACAGCCGAGAGTGGAGAGAGCCCGCTCTCCCTCTCGAAATTCTCTCACATGACCACGCGTATACAGCCTCTGCCAGAGAAGTCCTACTCACTACCTTCTCGCATCAGGGGTTGTTTACGAAAGTGAGAGGACGAAAACCGAATGTTCGGCACTTGAACCGGGTTGGTGGGCACGGAAAGTCCATCTAAGGGAGTTGGAAAACCCTGATTCCAAACCAATGGTGAACATGGGCTCCAGTATCCTGAGGGAACAAATGGCGTATGGATCAATCGTTGGTCACCGGCTACCATGAGACCGCATCTCCTCACAATGCTCCACTGCCTTGTGGATCAGATCTTTAGGTCAAAGGCTCCGAGTGTGGTCCCCTAAGAAAACCACCTGCTTCGGTCTGGGCACGCAGGCAGTATCACAGCCCTTACACAAACCAAATGAGATTTGTGTTGCGCATACATATCTAGTGCCACTTTGTACCAATATTTATGTCTAAATAAAAATAAATAATAGACATGGTGGTCTAGTCAAGAACTTTTCCAACAAAAACTAAGTTAAGGAGAGCATTGGGTAGATATAATGTTTTGTTTTGTTAATACAATGCGCAACACTTAATCTTTCTGTTATTCATATGTGGATAAGTAGTAGTGGTTTAGTGGCTAGAGCAACCAACTTATGATATTGGATATGAAAGATAAATACTAACTTTACGTTTCAAAACATAAATTTTATGCCACAAAGACAGTTCACAAGCTCTGAACTGATAACTTCACAAGTATCAACTGGTCAATGACTATAATCATAGTCTAGACACAGTAACAGCTCATTGTGAAGACGCACCCATGCGAGGGTTAAAAAAACTTAGAAACTGCAACGGGCTCTTAGCCCAGCTATTAATAAGATACGAAAAATTGGTCTCAGTAGTACAGACTTATTCGCCCTTTATCTCACTAAAAATCTTGGACTTACTATTATTTCACACCATCGACTTTTGTGGTTTTTGAGAACTTTAGTTTCTATGTTTTGGTGCTTCACTATTATTGGTATTATTAGGTCAACTCTGATTGCCACTTTATATATATATATATATATATATGGTACCCTTATGTACCAATGATTGTGTTTAAATACGTAAATAAATAAATGTACATAGTTTTATACTGAGAGTGCATGAGTTATGTAAAATTGCTAGTCCCAACACAAATCGTGAAACAGACCTGAGTACATGAATGTGTACATGGTGAGCTGCATTATTACAAGATTATTGTAGTGAAGTACATGTGAACAGCACCGAGACTTCAACATTTTAGTACGTTAATACCGCTGTGAAAACAGATTTATTTACCTGGTACCAAGTGCTACACTAATCACCTCTTTTTACCTCCAAACCTACGCTAACCAACACTACTGGTAGTATCCATATACTTCAACTCAACATCTGCGTCCTGATTAGATGATCCAATACATGGCGAGTCCCTATCAGTGTTGTTAAGTGCTCCTCCATCCAACTGAACGTGGAAATAGGAACAAGGAAGTTTAAGAATGTGTGTATGTTACTACAAGCTTTTTATAGTTTTAGTGAGACTTGAATGAGGGAAGTTTTTTACAGGTCGCAAGGCCCTATTTAAAACGTAACTCATTTTGTGAAAATAACAAAGAAAATTTTCGAAAAATATCTTTCTCACTGTCACATCACAAATCAAAAAACAACTGGATTGTGGTGTAAAAAATTCCGAAAACAATCTTAAACGTTCTTTTTCACTTTCTTAAAACTGCAATAAGACAAATTAAACCACAAAAACTACAAACTCGAAACCCGATAACGAACAGAATCCCTAAGGTTACAGATCTTATCACCCAGCGGTCAACTTGAAATCAACTACCAGAGATGGTGTTCACATCTTCAATTACCTCATTCAGAACACGAGACACACAGAAGCAAACTAGAAAAGGGATAACGCAGGTGCGCTGTTTTCTATTCTTAGAGAATACGAGTTTTCATATGTGTTCCAATCAAAATACCTATTGTTAATCGAGATTAATTTGTTACGTAGAAAAAGAAGCAACTTTACAAGTTGGTTACTAGACATTTATACATTTATAGGAGTAGAATTTGACTCAAGAGTCAACTGGCCTAGGAAAATACCTAAGTAATTACCTGTCAAGCCACTCAAGATTTCCACGCTTATGCAGTTCAGTCAAAGTGAGGTCAACTAATTCTGGGCTGGCTGAGCGTTGGATACTTTTGTTATTAAAAAGAGGACAGGAGGGATCACGAATACTTGCAACACTCAGTGTGAACTGCTTTTTACTTTGAAAATAATTAAGGACTAACTGACACCAGGCATTTATTTGTTTGCGACGAGTCTCAGCATTTGGTTGAAGAGTGAAAAAAGGCGGAAAATTGTATTGCCATGGCCAAATAACATCATTGCCCGGCGTCAAGGACATTAAGGCCAAGAATCGAATCCCTCAACGTAATTGTAACCTTGAGATTCAGGGTCAAATAACTTTTTGCTTCGTCGTTAAATAAGACATTTATTGCAGCATGCCACTTGTAACGCAAAAGCAGCTTTAAAAATTTATGAAACTCAAAGCTGTTGATCCTACACAGGCGATTGCTCTGTGCAGTGCATTCACAATGAGCTTTGTCTGCGCGTTTTAGTTTTCCCATGTTTATCCAGAACTTTACTTTTTTCACTTCAAATGGTTCTAGACGGAATGTAAGAAGCTTTCGCTTGACAGCCTTCCGTAATTATTAGCAGTGGGTCACCCGTACCTCCAGATAAGAGCCTACGTATCGTAACGATTAAGGAGGAAATAGAAAAAATTAGTAAACCACGGTGAGATACTGTTTATAGTCCTTAAGAATGTGCCAAGTTTTCTCTTATAGGACTCCCGGAAAGTCGCCCAGAACAACTCAACTGGGAGGGGGGTCTAAGATTTGACTACACTTAAAGAATAGAATATATGATTACAATACGTTCCGCCGAGTTGTTTCTTCAGTTTCTCGGTGTTACCCGTAAGATTTGATTTGAGACTAACCTTAAGTAATTGTTTAAAGGGATGTCCAGAAGTATTTGGATGTAGTAGGTCAAAAGAGGGTCACCTCCAAAACTCTTGTACTTTAATGAGTAAAGGTTCGGTGATCGTAATAGCTCTTCATAAGATTTGAGTGCTCGGACTGGTTTCGTCGCTATCTGTTGGGTGAGTTCCAAAGTTTCCTTATCCTTTTGGAGTGAGGGAGGAAATAATGTGTTACCCCACTTTAAATAGGGACGAATAAAACTGCTGAAGATCATTTGGAAATTTCTTCCGTCAAACTGACCGAAAATATGCTTCAACGTTGCCAGTGCGAGGTTTTCTCAAAAGAGATTTTCGTCGCAGTTAGCGTAAGGCATCAAGTCATATGGTACCGAGACTCCTAGACCTTTTTCAACTTGAGATACCTCTAGATAGCACTTACTCAAGATGCATGCATCGTTTGCATTATGTCTCAGATGGACTACTTTGCAATTTGGAGGGTCAAAAGTAATTCCGCTATCCTCCCAACTTTGAATTCAAGTCAGATCCTCCTCAAGTGCCGGTTAATCCCCTTGGTTTTAGACTCCTCTCTAGAGTTTTGTATCACCAGAGAAAATTAATAAACCTGTGGATAATCGTTTATGTAACTTAAGGAAAGAACTAGTACTGATCCCTGACGAATCTACCACGACATTACATAACCTGCGAGATAGTAAAATCAACCCTGACCTTAAAATATCGATTTTTTTAAATATGAAGCGAGCTAATCAAATGAAATTGATTTGACGCCTTGTTGTTTGAGCTTACCGATAAGACATATATATGAATGACCCCATCGAAAGATTTCGAGATGTCAAGACACATGACGTCAGCCCTCAGCATGACTGTCTACCTAACCACTGTGGACGACAGGTTGGTTACACAGGAGTGACATTGAAATGAAAGGAATTTTATGGACAGTAAGTAGTTCTGTAGACTGTCTAATATCAGAGACTCCATTATTTTTGAAAGTATTCAGAGAAATGCTACTGGCTGGTGGCTTGAAAATTTGCGGCTTCCACCTTCTTTGAAAATTGGTGTGGAGTCAGCTTTCAATTTACTGGTAAGGTGCCTTGGCTCAGCGAATGCGAGAACATAACGCTAGGCAGTGTTACTAAGATTGAAGCTGTTTCCTTCAGTGTAACGGAATGGACCATATTCAGGTCAGAAGAAGTGTCTATTTTACATGCTGCAGTTTCGGGTTCACCGAGCCAACGCCCAAGTTCACTTTTGAGAGTCCTACTGAGCTTCAGGTGAAGCTCTTATCAATATGTAATTAGTATGGGTCGGTTGAAATGTTCGAAAATACTATTCTGAGAGAAGGACGGTGACGTCACCATCATTGTATTTTGGGCCACTGGTAGTAGTACGGAAACTCCGGTTTTAGCTTGATGAAGAAAGGTTTCACGACGGCATAAGCTTTTCGAATTGGAGACAAATTTAGGGATAGTAGTACCTTTTGAGGCTTGGGAAACGGAGATTACGATTCTTGATCACTTCAGGTTTCTTGTAGGTATTGATGGCTGTTTGTGAAAAAGACTGCTTTTTAGCACATTAGATAGGATACAGCAAGAAATCCCAGTTAGAGTTCACGTCAAGTTGAGAGTAAACTTCCCATCTGTCGTTGTTAAGACGTCTTAGCCCAGTTTTAATGATAAAATTGAGGGCTATGATGGTGTGATCACTTTTCCTCAAGGAAGCAATCATTGAAAGATTTTCAACTGGAAATTCTTTGTTTGAATTTACAGAGTCTAAGCGTGACAGCGTATGATTGCTTCTTCGACGACTTGCTGATTTGACGCTTTTGATTAGTTCAATGAGGTTGAACAACCGAGCTTCAGTAGAGTTGTCACTTCCAAAGTACGCATGTTCAGCGAAATTGACTTCAGGAAAACTGAAGTCTTCTGAAATCAGGCTATGAGTGGATCCGAGACGAGTACAACGGGATAATCCTCCAAACATAGGATTATCAAACTCGATTTTAGCAGTGGGCTTCCTGTAAATTACTCCGGCTAGAAACCTGAATGTTTTAGACAATTGCACTAAGCACCTTACAAAGACATCAAAATTCATAAACTCCTGGTTTTGCGCCTGATGTAACTACAAGCAAGTCTACTCCACCCCTTATTCTTGTTTTTCTGTCGTTACGAAACAAAGCTATTCTGAGTATTTCAAGATGAACCAACGAAACAGTTGAACTTGATAGCCACTCAAACTCATGTACGAGGCAAACCATACCACATGCCGAAGAAGTCGCGACGACATAAATTCCGCCCGAGCAAGCAACCATTACCAGTAGAAAATACACAATATAATTGTCGTATTTGTTTCAGTCGGTTTCATTTTAACTCATAGAGTTGTTTTCCCTAGAAGCCAGGCTATTAAAGCCGAATACTTGACGGCTATTCACAGGGCTTATCCTTGAAAAACCATCTGAGACTATACTGTCATTCAGTGAAACTAAACTAAAATATATTGACGATTTCCTTGAACTCTGGTAGGGTACTTGTCGGGTGACTAGTTAATTTGCAGCTGATGGCGAAGCTTTTATTTGTCTGTGAAAGCGTTCAACCAACCCCTTTGCTTGTGAGTGGTAGGCGGTCGTTCGGAAGCGAGTGATTCCTAATAGGGAGGTCAGACAACGGAAATGTCCAGATTCGAACTGGCGTCCGCGGTCTGTAGTGATGGTTGAAGGGCTGCCGAAATTTGCTACCCATCGCTCGACGAAAGCGCGAGCCACTGTTCCAGCAGTAATGTCCTTAATAGGTATTGCTTCTGGCCATCAAGTGAAACGGTCTACACATTTAAGTGATATGAGTATCCGTTTGAATCGGGTAAGGATCCTACGAAATCTGGATGAACGTGGTCGAAACGAACGTCAGGGGTTTTGAAAGAGCCTAAGGGACATTTGCTGTGTCTTATGACCTTAGATTTCTGACAGCTTACACAGGAGCGTGCCCACTCCCTCACGTCTTTACTCATGCCAGGCCAGAAAAACCGTTCGGCTACAAGCTTGATGGATGCACGAAAACCTGGATAAAAACTTTTTGTGCTAGGTATTGAAGACGTTACGTCGATAATGTTTTGGAACGATTAGACGGTCCCTTCCAGTAGATGTGTCACAGTAATGTTTCCTTACCTGTTCCTATCTGCTTAATACGTAGTTTTAGAGTTGTCGAGGATAACTCGTGCTGAAGATCAGTGTCTTCTTTTTTGAAGCTGAGCGAGTTTAAAAAGGTCGATTCCTTGGAAACTGTTCAAGGAACTTATATGAGACAAGGCGTCTGCAACTGTATTGCTTGCTCCAGGAATGTGTTGTATATCTGAAGTAAACTGCGAAATGCAGTCCAGTTGTCGAGACTCTCGAGGTGAGTACTCGTCTGAGGATGAGCTTAAAGAGAAGGTTAAAGTTTTATGATCGGTGAAAAGGGTGAATCCTCTACCTTCGATAGAGTGTTGAAAATGCCGTACAGCACAATACATAGCTAAGAGTTCCCTACCGAAGATGCTTTACCTCCATTCAGTGTCTAACAACCGTCTCGAGAAAAATCCTAAATGTTGCCATGAGTTGTTAATCCATTGTTGTAAGACTCCTCCGATTGCTGAGTCGGATGCGTCTACTGCGATACTAATGGGCGCTTGAGTGTCCTAATGTGCGAGCAAAGTTGCCTTTGCGATAAGTTCCTTAACTGTGTAGAATGCTTTTCTCGCGGTGTTGTCCAGATTAATTGATTTCGCATTTCCACGAAGTTGGTCGGTTAGTGGTTTCATGAGGGATGCGCACTTTGGTATGAACCGTCTATAGAAACTTACAAGACCGTTAAATGTGCGCAACTGCATAATGGTGGTAGGTTCTGGGTAATTCAGAATGGCCGCCATATTGCTTCTAGGGTGTCGGATTCCTTGAGCATCAATAGTGTGTCCTAGGAAGTCTAAGGATTCGATTCCGGTTTTGCATTTCTGAATGTTCACAGTAGTGCCATGCTTTTGAAGTCATTCGAAAACATCGCCCAGATGCTGGAGCTGGGATTCTATGTCCGGACTTGCTATCAAGCCGTCATCAACATACGCATGTACGAAGTTGAGACCTCGGAAAACGTGATCTATGAACCTTTGGAAAGTCTGGGCAGCATTTCTTAGGCCGAAAGGCATTCGCAAATATTCGTAAAGTTTGAAAGGAGTTATGATAGCGGTTTTCGGGATATCCTCAGTAGCCATAGGGATTTAGTTATAGGCTTTAACAAGGTCGATTTTCGAAAAGACAGTTGTACCTTTCAAGGTAGCTGTCAGATCGTGAATGTGAGGCAACGGGTAACGATCGGGAATGGTTTCACATTCAAACGCAAATAGTCACCAGTTGGACGCCAATTGTTGCTGTCCTTTTCAGGGGCCATGTGCGAAGGAGATGGCTATGGGCTATTCCTAGCTCTATCATGTGATCGAATTCGTTTTAAGCCGACCTCAGCTTTTTGGGAGCCAGTTGGCATTCTTTCGAGAATACAGGTGGTCCTTTAGTCGTGATGTGATGTGTAACATTGCTGGCAACACACGGCAATTCCGGTCGCCGTTGATATATCTCAGAGTACTTATCGAATAATGGTTGATATAAGGGGTCTATGGTGTGTCTAATTGTGACTGGAGATAATTTGCAACCAGTAAAAGGAGTTACGCAAACAGATAAATTGGGTATCTCCGTCTGATAGCCTTCATTTGCGTGTATCGATGAGAAGATTGTGGCGTTGTAGCAGGTCTATATCAATTATTTGCATAGAAACATCGAAATTTTCCAGAAATTAACTATTGTTTCATCGGTTGTTGTTCATTACCCCATGATAACGATTGCTTTTGAATTGGTTTGTTCCGCTTATTGTTTGCCTGAGGTATTTGCTTAAACAACGAATCACTATCGGCGATTGGAAGGCCAAATAAATGTTAACATTTTCGAAATTGGTGTTAGTAGTAACTATATAGTTATTCATTCCTAATAATACTACTTGTCCTGTAAAAAGGAATTGTTCAGAAATATTGAAAAACGTAGCATACTAGTGATGTGTTTAGCATCTCTATATAAGTGATGAGATTATGGCCAATATTAGCAGTCGGATATTTCTGAAAATATTTGCAGCTAGACTCTCGACTGCAAAACATGAGGCCGGAAAATTCGCATATCTTTATTTCTCTTCTAGATATGCACATTATTCATGCTTTTCCATGGATGATCAACCTAATGTATAAAATAATATAACCCAAACAAACCAAAGAAAGAACTTCAGAAAATGAAAAAAAATATAACAAACTCACCAAGAAGTTCTTCCTATTGCCTACCGTAAACAAATATTCAGTTTTTTCTATTCTGCCACAACAGGCTACAAAGGATACTTTTTATTGCGTTCCCCATCTATTTCCTGAGTGTTCGTCTTTATTTTCACTCTTTGGTTTGCTTTAGTTATCGCCGTGATGTACCCTGAGAAATTATTTAAGCAATTACTTATTTCGGTTACAGAATTCAACGTGTAGAGTAGCTAGGCCGATGTTGTAAAACAAGTTTAAGTCAGAATTTTAAAAAGTTTGAGATAGTTAAAGAATATATTAACAGGAGAGTTATGAAGTATTACCCATCGTAAAGGTCCAAATTTACTTGAATTTATAACTCCCGGTGGGATTTCGGACGTAATGCTCTTAAGTTTACGTCCGAGAGATATATGTCAGATTCGGATAGGGAGGTTCAATAACAGTCTTCAGTCTTCAGTAATAAGGATAGTAGGTTGACGAACCTGTGTTAATCCTGACAGATTTCCTTCCAGTGAAGGTCCAGCTTCTTTTTGAAAATGTTCACTGATGGTGCTGATACCACTTGTTCTGGTAAAGCGTTCCAGTCATTGACCACTCGATGAGAAAAACGGGACCCCACCTTTAGTTTATTAGATCGCGGTTTCAGAACCTTCTTGCTATGACCCCGGAGATTATTAGTGCTGGAGGGAGCAAAAAGGTAAGACATATTAACACCCAGATCATAATTAAAGATACGAAATGCCAGTATAAGGTCACCTCGCGTCCTACGACAAGATAAGGGGAAAAGATTTAGACGTTTTAAACACTCATCGTAAGGGAGTTTGGAAAGACCTTTTACTAATTTTGTCCCTACACGCTGGACACGCTCAAGAGATTTAGTATCCTTTATCAGACAAGAGCTAGCTGCTTGGATACAGTATTCTAAGTGTGGCCTTACATAGGTGGGATATAAAATTCGAAACATATCCTCGTCAAAGCATTTAAATGCTCTGCGAAGCGACCATAGCGCTCGATAGCCTTTGGAAGCAACCGCATTGCAGTGCGTAGTAGTTTTTAAGTCGTGACTTATAATTACTCCTAAGTCTTTATGCGCATGAACGCGTGGCATAGATGTACCATTAATGGTATAGTGGTAACTAATATCGTGCCCGATGTGCATGAACACGCTCTTCTTGGAATTAACTTCCAGGCCCCAATCATGAGCCCACCTAACTAATTCGTCTAAATCTGCTCGTAGATAACAACGATCAGTCTCATTTCTTATTGTTCTCCAGATTTTAACATCATCCGCAAACAATAACGTCGACGACTTAAGTAATAAAGGTAGTTCATTAATATACAGAAGGAAAAGTAGAGGGCCTAAGATGGTGACTTGGGGTACACCACTTTTGACCGGTTTCCATTCGGATAGCGTTCCATTGACCCTTACTCTCTGTCTGCGGTCACATAAGAAGCTTTCTATCCATTCCTGTATAACACCCGTTATTCCAAAGCTCGAGAGCTTTTGCATAAGACCTAAGTGTGAAACCTTATTAAACGCTTTGCTAAAATCTATGAATATCACGTCGACAGACTGGCCGTTGTCTAGGGCAGCTGTCAAATCCTCTCTCGCAATGAGTAAGTTAGTCAAGCATGAATGCTTGTTACGAAACCCATGTTGCTCAGGAGTTAACAGATTGTACGAATCTATGTGGCTTAGTAGCTTAGCCCGAATTAATTTTTCAAGTAACTTAACTACTATACTGGTCAGGCTAACGGGCCGGTAGTTAGATACGATCCGTCTCTGACCATCCTTAAATATAGGACTAACTATGGCGTCTTTCCAGTCACAAGAGTAAACAAGTGATAGCTTCTCTTCGTTAAAATCAAGCAACCGACAACCATGATTTCTTTTTTCCGGAACCGAAGTACGTGTCATGACTTGTGCTTTTAATTCATCATAGGGTGGCATCGTAAAGACATAATCAGCGGTATCTTTCGCTTTCGCTTAGATGGTGATAAGAAACACAAAATCCAATTGTGTGTAATTTTGATCTTGTAATCAAACAATGCTCACCAAAAGCCACCTCAGTTTATGCCAACTATCTAGGTCGTCTTTAACTCATTGAATTTTCAGTTGTTGCAGTGGCTAAAAGGATCCATCGGTTTTCATATTAAATTGACGATAATAATATGCTATAATGAGAAGATTACCTGTATTAAGTTCAACCAGAAATTGGGTAATTTCAGCTTGACAGTATAGATGCTGAAAATTTGGGCTAAAAAAGGTAGGATCTTATTTACTGTGCTCCAAATATGTATTCTAAATCAACATGGACCGTCTTGAGCTACTAGACATAGTTAATTTGAGTTGAAAACCTAAAACATGTAGGGGATTTCACGTTGTTTGTTCTGCCATCGTTCTTGTGATTAAGTTCTTAATCTTATGTATGTATAAATACATGGTTCACATTAAGTTTAAGAATATCAAATATTTAAGCACCTTCTGTGCTATGGTAGTATTATGTAGATTGGTGTATATACTTAGTTGGAACTCTAGTATGTTGCCTGCCCCTTCTCTCCACAGTTGATATTTTTATATGCGATCACTCAAACCTCTTCCACGTTCTGATGTTCACTTTTTACACCGAAATATCGATCAGTGGATAGTGTATTACGTTTTTTCGCTACAGCTGCTGTTGGTATTTTCATTTCAAAACGTGTATCATGCGATAATGTAAGTGTCGAAAATGACTTATTTACAAAGGCGATTTTTTGTCATACTTAGCTACGAGAACTCCATCATAACTGAAATCACTCCTATTTTCGTTATTTTCAGATTAAGCTTCGTTACGAAGAAAAATTATTCAGTAGTTTAACGTTATAAATAATGGAGACAGAATATTACTCTTTTTTGTGTTATGATGGTGTCGAACGAACTTTTAAGTGTCAGTCCACTCAAACACTTGAAGAAGATATGGTTATGCACTTTGAAGTTGACTCAGATAGTAGATAAGCAGCATTACAATGAAATTTGTGAATAATTTATTTAGTAGTTGCTGTTACTAGTGAAGGAACTGAGGATATTGATATTATGGGTGACGAATACACAGAAAGCCGAGAAGAAGATGGAAGCCTCGATTTCGATAACATGAGTATGTTTATGTGTATTAGATGGATTCTTTCTTCCAGGAAAATCTGTATCGTTTCGCAAAACTCCTGTCGAACTCATTGTTCCGGCTAAATATGTAGACGATGAATATGGAGTGGAAAGTGCACCAGAGTCGTCCTCTGATAAGGAAGAAGTAAGTTTGTCAGATACATTATTAAGAAAACCGATAAATAATCAAAGGAGTTGAAGGATTTAATTTGTTCAACAAATATTCTACCAGAAATGTAAACGCAATACTGACGACCCAGAGTCTATGTAAAAGCTATAGTCAGAACAAGGACAACTTGACTTTGATTTTTATTTATATCAGTATTGCCAGTCTTATCGAAATGAATAGAAAACTATGAGTCGCAGTCACATTATTGTGATGTAATATTGTCCTTCAACTGGTAGGTCACATGCAACAGGAATGGTGTACAGGAATATAAGACCAGGTTGATGTGGTAGGCGTCTAAACATCGATTTGGTAGGTTAGTAATCGACATAACTAACTGGAGTGTCAAAGATTTGATGTTCATTTATTAGCTCAACAGTTGAAAGCAGTTGTGAATAAATGTTAATTGTTTCTTCATACTTGTTCGCATATATTAGCAAGGTGCATCTATATTCGGCAAACTGTTGAAAATGTCTGTTTATAAACTAGTTTACAATAGCCCATTATGTTTCAGAATAAGTGAAAGGTACACTAGCAATTAATTTTATTCATGATATATACCAATGGAGACATATAGTCAATAAATATAATTCATTTATCATTTCTAACCTCTTAGATTTCATCAACTATCTGATTTCTAGTCTTTCCTGGACTTCAGAATGGCAAATAAATCTCCATTCCGGTTCGATTACTTGTCAGTAGCACTGTGTGAAGATATCTATAACTAAGCTAAAACTTTTCTGACACACAAGATTACCATGTAGATTAAAAATGTTAGCCAGTTAACATTTTATTTATATCAGTCTATTGTTCTTCATAGAAAACATTGCCCAATTAGTACTCTTTATGGACGATGGCAACATAAAATTGATTTTCTTTTCATGACATATACAATTAAGTTAAAGTCATATGTTCTGTATTTTTTATACTTTAAAGCCTACCATTAATGTCAGAATACAGTTTAAACTAATGTTAGCTTTTTCATTTTGGCCTTAATGTTTACAAAGTTTTACTTAGCATATATACACATATACAAATTCCTACAATCAATTTAGTACTGTTTTTTAGGTAGTTTCAAGTGAACACGTAACCGAAGTACATACATTCAATCAATTGGGATACAAAAAGAGGTAGTTCAGAAGTCAAAAATATGAATCCGATAAGCATAGTTAGTGATGTTCTTTGAATTCAGCAAAAATAGTTTTATGAAAAATGTATCATCACCTATAGAATCTTTATAAAGAAAGTAATAGTGATGAAATTATAAGAGAACCATCATTGTCACCAAGTCGATATGGAAAATTCATGCGTAAAAATCATTATGTACCATTTATCACTCGTTTTCCACAATCTCATCTATCATTTACTGAACTAATAATAAAATAATTTATCCTTTAGTTTGTTAAAGACAAAGTGAATTCAAAAAGAAACTGATTAATTCCTGTGTTATGTAAAATCTGAACATGTTATACGTTTACTCTGTTAACCTTGTCCTATGCTACACCATATTTTTACAGATTTTCCATGGTGGTCTAGCTTCAATTGATTCATGATCTCAACTATATAAAATTACTAAAATCCCCACAAAACCCCCTTCAGATTTGATATGCTTTAACTTTTTTTTTCAAAATTCCCCTTTATATTTAGTATCCTACTCGAGAAGAATATACAAATCGTGAATGGATAAATAAACCAATATCTAATTGGATTAATGATACTTATGTTAATATTCCAAATATTTTAGATCAAGTTGATAGTTTTAAAAATGTAAAAGATGAACAAAATGTAGACAATAATTTTAATTTTCCTTATATATTACAAGTAAGTTAGCTAACTGGTGATGTTGCTTTTTATCAGAATTTCAATCATCAGATATCAAAAATCAAGAAACTGTTTGAAATTGGCATACCTAATAAAAGTAAACTACGATTGTTTAATAAGTATAAATAGACATATACACTTATACATGCCCCCGAATGCCCTGGTACGGCCGAGAGTGGAGAGAGCCCGCTCTCCCTCTCGAAATGCTCTCACATGACCACGCGTATACAGCTTTTGTCAGAGAAATCCTACTCACTGCCTTCTCGTGTCGGGGGTGTTGTTTACGAAAGTGAGAGGACGAAAAGCGAATGTCCGGCAATTGAACCGGGTTGGTGGATGTGGAGTGTCCACCTAGGGGAGTTGGAAAACCCTGATTCCAAACCAATGGTGCACATGTGCTAACTCCAGTATCCTGAGAGAACAAATGGCGTATGAATCAATCGTTGGTCACCGGCTACCATGAGACTGCATCTTCTTACAATGCTCCACTGTCTTGCGAATTAGATCTTTAGGTTCAAGGCTCCGGGTGTGGCCCCCTAAGAAAACCACCTGCTTTGGTCTGGGCAGCCGGGCAATATCACAGCCCTCATACAAATCAAATGAGATTTGTGATTGCGCATATATATCTGGTGCCCCTTTGTACCAATATTTATGTGTTCAAATAAATAATAAATAAAACGCTTATACATTTAACATAAATAATAGAATTTTATATGGTAAACAGTTTCTTTACCGATTCCTATTTTTTTATTATTTTGTCAGTATACATTGTCATTACTGATATTTAGTTCATCAACTACACTGTTCGACTTAAATATTTGTGGTTTGGCTTGATTTAATCAAAACACAAATTATGTTATGAGTGAATGAAGTACTATTTTGTACGATTTCTTCTTAGATCTATAAACATTTAACTGGTCGTAATATTTTTATAAGAATAATCTTGAAGATACTACAAAAGAAAACACTTAAGACAATAAAACATACCATTTAAAGGATCAAAATGACGGGATAGTCAAAGCTAGTTAATTTTTTTTGAAGTTTGATGACATTTTAGATTATCACTTTAAAGAAAGAAGTCCAACGATTAGTGATAGTTGCTTTATAGTATGCTTTCGTATATATCCAGTATTCTCCTGAATGAGTTGATCAATAGATCAGATATCAATTCCTTCTGGAGTAGATTTCAAGGTAAGATTATTTGATAGACCAAACTTAAATACACAGACATAAAGTTTGTTCTTCGCTTTTGACCTCACCTGTTGAATCATTTAAGTAGTGCTGACCTAGTCAGATAGAAAGAGAATGTCTCAGGCCTAAAGTCATTTGTTATTATAACCAAAAGGTGTAAATCATCAGTTACTTTATGGCTTAAATTTACTTCTTGATTCAATAATTCATACTAACTGATAGATAGGTATTATTCGATTGAAAATTTTATTTATCACAGAGATAGCTTTAGCTTGTAATGACATATTTAGTCACTGAATCAATTGCTCCTTCTTTGAGTGGATAATCCTTTAGGTGTTTTTATATTGGTTATGTGACCAAATCTTTATTTAGGCCATTTCAATTAAATCAGGATTTTATCCAATATACTATATGTTAGAACATTATCTTATAATACAGATGTTGGATTGTAGAGAACTGGTCCTACTGACTAATTTGTACTTGACATTCAACCAATGAGTTACAGATTCCGATCCCACCTGACCAACTTTGATTTGAACAGTCAAACCAAGACTTGAAGTCGGTCCATAGAATCATTATTTGTCGGATCGGGATGTGTAGGTGGGTACAAACTACATAAATTGGATCTGCGCGGCTACCGTAACAGACAGTCGGGGACATTTAGCGACGGCTCATAATCGGCCGTGAAGACACAAATGCATTCAATCTGTGTGTTGAAGCACTTATACTTTTATTCTACGAATTAATTCTCTTTATCGGATCATATCGTCTATGTCAAATCTATTCCGCTTCTACGGATAATATTACTACTTCTGTAATAAACGAGAACACAAGTAGGGACAATCAAATATATTTGAATACAAAAGTACAGAATATTTTAGTGAAATTTGATAACTATACAGTAAATACTTCATTTGCACAGTGTCAGTCAATCATCTCAGACTTTATTGTTCCTTTATTTCTACACCGATCATTCTGTTATCGTTCTCTTTTCTTTGATCTTCTTAACCTTCTACTGCCAGGCATTTAACTTTCGATTGATGATACATACTACTTATATCTGTCGACATCAGTAGCACACACCACACTCATACTATTATGGGATTTGTCTTGATAATTTCAACTTGTTTTGCTGATGTGCTGTGGAAACTTGAATACATGTGACAGGTTCTACATTGCTTATGATTGATAGACCACAATGGCTTTATTAGTGTTCATACAAAATAGTGCACCTCAAGACTGAGTGCATAAAAATGTACTTAATCACTAAATTACATTGATTTTATAGATTTACACTATAAATATGAATAAACAACATTCTTCGTATTGCAAAATATGTGTTTTTCCCCGTCTTCATTCATCATTCATACTAGTTCACATCGGTAATTCAGTTTTTATCAGCCTAACACCAGGCACAAGTGTACATCGGTCCAAGTTGCCATAACTCAAGTCAAAACAGCAAAATGAATACTATAGATTTGGAAGAACTATATTGAGACCAATGAAGATCTAAACATAATAAAAAACAAATATGACCATATACATGATTTGGAAATGATAATTAAGTCAAGACTTTGAGGTAGATAGTAAATGAATACAATTACCCTACTGCCACTAATTTCATGTTTTATCATCCAACGGCTAAGTTATGTAAATAATGACGTCAGAAACCTGTACCAGTGAACGTGTACAGATCACATTTAAGTTGTCAAGATATTCTTAGTATGATAAAATACGTCTGTAAATAACCTTTTCTTAATAAAATTCAACGAAAACAGTATTAAGACAAAATTATTTTTTCTCAGAATTTCCTCCATAATTACGCAGGTACTTAGTCTGGACAAAAGTCCAAATAAGCACATCGCTTACGTCAAGAGTTCCCTCCCTACAACCTAGCATATCAATAATCAAAGATCTTATCGTTGTTATTAACTAGACAGAACCTCAGTAATTGACATGTGAATGGATATTTTTCTTTAAGAAAAATGGTGCAAACATTTTACTACGGATAGTGTTCACTTATATTTTTGTTGTTTATTTCAGATGTTTATTCAAATATTGTAATAACTAAGTGTACACTGATGTAAATCGATCTTATCCAGGTTTCTTTATGGAACTTTAACAGCACTAGAAACACTGACATGGTGAGAGTAACATGAACTAATCAAAGATTCTTTTTAAGAAATTCTCTAGACAACCTCCTATATCTGGTCGCATAAGATAAACATCAAAAATTTACAACCTAATAAGATTGAAAACATAAACATGAAAACAGATATATATCTATCATATTATTCATCCAATCAGAATATTGTTTTCAAGGCAAAACAAGTATGCTAAGCATTATGGTGACCAATCAACATTTAAGAAATTACTTTCTGTGATCTGTCTGAATTAATCATGTTTTTCCATATGACGTTCTTTTTCATTTGAGTTAATTAACTTTCCTAATTCTGAAATTATGTGATCTATAATTTTTTTTTCTTGCATTGAATGTCATTCATTTAAAGGTTGTAAAAGATATCTGTTGTAGAAATAATCTAGAAAAGTTGAAATTAACTTCTTTGGCTCAAACATATGCTAAACGAATTGCAACAGCAGATGGTATTAAAAATTGTAAATTTTGTGGTCGAATTCTATCGTCTACATTGACAAAATCATTACATTTATCAAATGAAGAATATTGTTGTGATCGATATCATCGTCTTTTTCGTTTGGCTGTTAATTATTCTGAAATGTTATATAAACGTTATCGTCAACAACGACGTGATTATAATAGACAGAAATTAAATGATCTAATAGGAGATACATCAGAGAATCGACTTAGTGAATCTGGTACAAAAATTGTAGGATTAGAAACAGAGTTGTTAAGTAAGTTGGTCGTATATTTGTAAAGTATTCATTAAATCATTAACAGTGTACAAAATTAGAAACATATTGATTTTATATAGATATTAAGTTGCGGAAAATATAACTAGCCATTTAATATTAAATTGAAGAAGGATTTTCTTGTGACTTTATAAAAGAAGGCCGTTGCCAATTTTTTATGATCTTATGTCCGGCTTTTATTACGTGATTTATTCACCAATCGGAATACGACTCGTCTAATCTTAACACTGTGCCAAATCAATGACGTTCGACCAGTATGAGCAGTCTAGCGTCCTTATTGGTCCCTTGTCCGCCTAGCCCTTCCAGATGAGTCCAGAACACCAATTACAGCTCCTGCTATGCGAACCATTTATTTTAAGCATACTTGGTTTATATACCAGACAGACAGACTGCATCAACACCATAAAATAGAAAATAACATTTGTACAAGATCAAGCCAAATGTGGTTGTGAACGTGAGAGACAGTAATGAATAAACTGAATATAATTTAGGGACATTAAATCGTATAAAAACAATCCATGGGTCAAAATGAAGCTTATAATAAGATGAACATAGATATACACAATCTCATTACTCAAAAGTTAAACAGTAAGAATACATATAGAATAATAGTCCATTATTCGGTCCCGGAAGTTACCTGTACTTACGTCTGTACTAGGATATGACAAACATATAGACATTATTTACAGTTGACTAAGACTATATTTTGAACATCAATCATCCGATGTATTCAAGCAGATTTTTAATACGCTTATAATTTTCGTAAATAAAGGTAATTTGAAAATCAAACTCAGCTAAATTCTTCAACAGATAACTAGGCAATATTTTCATGTTACACTAGTTGTTTACTTATTTCTTAATCCTTCGAAAATTGAAGAATATGATGGTTGTAACATTGTATTACTCCTCATTAACATTCTTCTATCCTCGATAACCAATCAGAAAAAGAACATAGAAAACCTATATACCTTCTACAATTCTGACTACAAAAGTCATCATCTTGTATGTTCATTACACATCAATAACTCAGCACAAATAAGATATTACAATTCTTACATGACCGAATCATAAAGGTTGAGAAACTAAACAACTGATGAATAACTGATAGCAATAATATCGGAATGGTAAAACACATATCAACGGTTAATCAGTTCAATGAAAGTTTATAATTAAAACAATAGGAAAATTCCATAAATCAAGTATTTAATAATTGCGCTCTAAAAATAAACATAGTAATTCACCATGTAATAGAATTTAACATTTCATCTTTTCTATATCTCCTCTCCTATATAACAATGACCTTAAGTAAACCTTGTTTTCATATATATATATATATATATATATATATATATATATATATATATGTTTGCCCTGCTCACCGCCGCTCCCTACTAAAAGTTCCTAATCGTACACTCATCTGTTACAAGTTTTTTCATCCCAACCAAATAGAACATTTTTATCTTATTTTTTTATTATATAACATTTCAAATTCACTTATGACATATTTCCCAAGTAATTAAGTAATTTATCGCTGGATCACTTCACGAGGTTATGGATAAATCCCCTTCAAATAATCCCATCTATTTGCTTCCAATCTTAGTTGGACAACAATTTCATAAGAATATCTTTTAAAGATTTGTACATCACAGAGACTATTATCCAGTACAATAATAATAACACGATATACTTGTGAATTAACTCTTAGCAAATAAGAATGAAATCAATCCTCCTTATAGATTTTGAACTAAAATCCTTATTTAAATCAAAATAAATAACTAACTAGGTTAAATTCACTTGGCACTGTTTGTTTGAATCTTCCCATTGATGTTTAGGACTGCAACTGGTCAGTCTCTAATTGACATATGTGAAGACTGTGCGTATTACCTCGATATAGCCTTAATTCACAAGCATTGTAAGCAAAGATGGACTCAGGAACCAATAGCTGATTGGATAACGCGATGGCGTTTAAAGCGAAAGGTACTGGGTTCGACTCCCAGAGTGAACATCAACTCTAGGATGCAAGTACATCCAGCTGACGAGTCCCAAGTAGGACGAAACGCGCGTTCTGGATTCCACTGCTAACCACTATCCATTCTAACTAACTAAGTTGTTTTTGTATTCAAATGATAACGTATTTTTCTACTGGATAATGGTATACAGTTGGTTGACTCTTTACCGATTATCATT